ACAGCATACAAAAAATATATCTTCAGATGACACTCGCTTCTAACAATTGCGCCACATTTACTCCATCTGCTTAAGAGTGCAAACTTTCACAGATTATCAGTTTCTAATAAGTTTCACAGGGGCAATGTATTCCAAATACGCTTCTGTGGCTACCTAGCAGATGGACGCTTCGAAAATAAAAGCATTGTTATTTCATCCTAAATCTCATAAAGCTGATTTGCATCATTAATTTCGTCTCCGGTTTTTTTTTGGCATAAAGAAACATAAAAAAAGTATAGAAAGTAAAGTATAAAATAAAGATTTAAAAAAAAAAAAAAAGGTTTATTTCCTTCTATTACTGCAAGAATAGCACAGCAGTGTCTCCAAAGGCAAGACTGAGCTAAAAGCAGCCTTTTGCTGCATGTTTCAGTGATGTAACCAAATTCCCGGTTTTGCACAGCATTTTATAAGATAACTCTATTTGCTGTGGAATATTTACTAGCTTCTGCAAGGGCAATAGTCTGAAAGATTATTTTTTTTTTTTAATTTTACCTTGTTCCACACATTTGTTTTCGTTTCTCCAGCTATCCAATACCTTTCTTACACAGATCAATCTTTCTACACACACACATTCTCAAAACCCCCTCTGCAATGGAAGGGAAAAAGACTGAAGCTAGTACAGCGATTTAATGAGATACAGGAGGCACGAAAAATATGACAGACACCATTGCTCACATCGCATGGCTTTCACCGAGATATGTAAGAGCTAGCAAATAACTCAGAAGATTATGACTTTTCATGCAGAAACACATATTGAAGGGTCCTTACCCATTTAAAAGGCAGGTAAGTTTTTCAGTATCTACAAAACCAAGTGAATATTTACAAAGCCCAAGTTCAGACTTGGATTCCTCCATCTAAGTATCTAACCAACCATAACTTAGTACTCTCTCTCCATCTACATTAATTTCAAAGGTGTTTATTGGCACCTCACACATTTTGCAAAATCGGCCACTTTAAGTATTGATTCAGAAGACATCATTTAAGCACAAAATCCCAACCCAAATCTTCTGCTTTTATGGCTTTACAGCGCTCTTCCCTGGGCTCAATTCGTGACCCTCAACCATTTACATGACAAGCTCCCTACGGCAGAACTTGGCGGTTCTTGAAAGAGTTGGGCTGCTGAAGCCCACTTTAGTCACAGTAATGACACAAAGCCCCAGCAGAGCCTCCTCATGGAGCGGAAGGAGGTGAGATGAAGCAGCACACTTTCTGAAGAAGGACAAGGGTCCCACAAGCAGATGCTCGGCTGACTTTCAATGAGCTAGATCAGCCAGCTTCTCCTGTGCAATCCCTCTTCAATGGTTCACGTGGCTGAAGTTCTCCAAGCAGAACTTCTTGCACTTCATACTGACAGATGTCTTCACTGAACACAGTTTCATTACCCGAACCCTGAGCACTTCTGCACATCTATTTACCAACAAAAGGTCAGCAATTTGCAACGTGGAAGCGATGGCAATGGTATTCACACTCTCACAAGAGCAGCCAGTGGTTTAATGTGCAGACTCTAGGAGTGGCTTGGTGTACACATTGGTGACTGGAAAAGAGACAGCCCGCGGGATTATTAAACATGCTATTTATTTATTCTTTTCTTAAAGGATACTGTCCTCAACAACTGTCAATAAGCTGCTCAGCACACAAGCTATATTTTAAAAGGAAAAAACAATGTCAAGTAATTTGTGTACTCAGCGGGTGGGTAGCTTTCTTTGGGGTGAAGTTATTATATACTGAATGTGTTTCCTTTATTATCAATGTGCGTTTTCCCTTTTTCTTTTGTAGGTGCAAGGCTATTAAAAGAGTACTTTTCTTAATGAAACAGATTAACATTCTATTAAGGTACTTGAGAACCGATGCATTTTGTAGGCTACAGTCAAGACTACTGCATTTGTTTAAAAAAAAAAAAACCCAAACCAAAACACAACAAAAAAAGCACTGTGGTGAATAAGCTAGGTTCCCCCCTCCCAAAAAATAACAAACCCCAAAACAGAAGAGGAATATATTCCAAACTTTTCTTGAGAAAATAAAAGAGAAAAGGAGAGGAGAAAAAAACATTTTAGTTGAAAAAAAAGATACTTTTTTAATCTTCATTAAAGCTGTTTTGGTCTGAGTTTTCCTCATTAATTCTCTTCTATTATAAAAGTGGTCAAAATTTAAATTTCTAACAGCTCTACCTTATTTTGAAGCTATATCTTAAATTGAAGGGGTGTGAATCGAGGTTGTTCCTACTTGAAACACTACCTAGCAAAATGATACGTTTCATCTGGAGAAAAACTTCAGAAGCTTCTTGGAATTTGTGCTGCACAGACTTCATCCTCTATTGGTTACAAAGGCATCTAAAAAGGGCATCCATGAGCCAGAAGTAAATTCTACCTCTTTCTACAATGTAAACTTAAAACTTCTTCTTTAACACTTCCTTAGAGAGTCTTTTTTTTGGTTAAAATATATATAAAGGAGTCATCTGAGCAGCTATATAAAGACCAAAAAAAGAAACAGCCTCTCAAGTTACTCCTCTAATGGTGGGGGGGGAGCCTCTTGGGTTCTTGCTTACTTTTTTAATTACTCAAGCTGTAAAGCAGGTGTAGTTAATTACTTAAAATCCAAAGAACCTTTAAAAAACAATTATCTATAACCACTTTATTAGCCTAAATATAAAAAGATTTTATAGATGTAGTATCTTAGAGACGTATTTCTGGCAAAAGCATTAGAGATTTTTTTTTGCTTCCCACCAATGTTAAAAGAAATTCTCAGCCATTAATTACTCAATATAAACTATTTTTAGAATAATACCATTTGCACATGTTCAAAAACTGTCACTGGTTCAGGACTGAATCTTCACCATCTGGGGGCTTGGCCAGCACCATGGTGGGTTTTTGGGGGAGTTTTTTTGTTGGGTTTATTTGGTGAGTTTTAAGGGGTTTTGTTGTCACTGGGGGTTTTTTGGGGGTGTTTTTTAATTATTTCTAAGAGCAGGAAGGGAAATTTTAGACGCTTTGTAATACTGCAACAGTCTGTTAGGGACAGAGAAGCTGATGGCCAGCTCTGAAGCACATGTTAAACGCACCAGCACGGCTCCAGCGATATACCTGAGGACTTCATACACTTCTGTCCGCAGCCAAGGCTGGGAAGAACGCCTGTCTCAACAGCAAAACTCTGAAGCCCACAGCCTGGTTGCAATAGAGGACCTAGACCGAAACAGGGCCAGGTCTGTGTGGTACTGAGGAAGGCAACCCCTGCACGCAAAAGCAACAAATCGCATTATAGTATTCAACAACTCTTAAATCTGCTAAGGGAAGTTTGAAACGGTCGACTACTGTTCATAAAAAAATGCTTCCAAAATATAAAGCAGTGCCAAAAAGAGGGTTTAACTTTTAATCTCTCCCCTGAAATGATACTCCCCACAGAAGTAGGATGAATATCGGCAGTTCAGCATGGAAATTTCTTCCACAAATAGCAGGAAGAGGGGAAAAAAGCACGCTGTGAGCTCATTAACAACACCTCTCAAGACACATAAAAATGTGTTGCAATTTAAGATACTGATGCAGAAATCTCCAGGTAGGCAACCCAAAAATTATACAAAAAGGCACAAATAAATGCAAACAAACCACAACCTCAAATTCTATCTGATAAATTCTCAGAAGGAGGAAAAGAAGTCTATACAGATTCTTCAAGTATTTAATAGTTCAAGAGAAATTTACTTCTTTCTGGAAGCCTAACGTTAAATCCATACAGCTAGAAGCACCAATACATGTTGTTATATGTATTGTTTATTTTTCAACAAAGAGTATGGTTTTCAAAAAGACAACCCACAGAAAGTTATTAAGACTTGTCTTACGCTTACAGATTGGAGCATATGGAGTATAAATGTTATTAATGGGGGAGATTTGGCAGGACACAGACACACAGCTTGATCTGCGAGGTCCATTTCGGTGATTTTTCACTCAGCTCTAAATCACTTTTAAATTTCAGAGTTATGCAATATAAAAGTCTATATTCAAAAGTATGAGTGAGCAAATCTAAAGATCTAGAACTCTCTCTTTATCAATACAACAAAAAAAAAAACAGGGAACAAGTTTATTAATTATACCTGCTCACTAATAGAAACAGAAGTGGTGCTAATTTGGTGGGTTGCGTTTTCCTAAGACATAAACTCCAATTACTGCCTATGAAAGCTTTTTCCAATACATATATACTTGCGCAGGGCAAAGTCCACTATCATAGCAGATTCCATTACAACTGCAACATTTGCTAGCCATATTTCAAGGAGGAGCCCAAAATTTGAGGGGTGATCTAGAACCCGCCCTTCACACAACAAGAGAAGGAAATACAAATGCTAGCATTTGGTTAAAAAAAGAGAGGCATAAAAATTAGTCTATTCCACATTAGGATTCAGTTCCTAAAATATCTCCATTGTTGTCTTGGTTTTTGTTTGCTTTCCACAATCCCCCACAAAGGCATTCTTTCAAGACTGTTCTGTAAAGAGCCCTTACTTGTTAAAGATGCCTGGAATTCTGGTGAGGGGATCCCTCGGCTCTGCTCAGAGCTGGGTTTTACACCGGAACAGACGGGTGATTTTTCAAGGCACCACATCCCCAACGCTTCAGGGCTCCTGGATGCTCAGGAGCTCTCACCATGGACCACAGGACCCGCAGGCGGGCTGGGGGGATGCACAGCAGCTGCACGCCTGCGCCCTTTTCTCTGGCCGCACCGACGCTGCTCCAGAGCCGTCCCACGGCAACGCAGCGGCTCTTTCTTTTACCTGCGTCCATCGGCAGGCTGGTGGCAAAGCTGCTGAACGCAGCCATGAACGGAGGTCTTCACGCCACTTATGGGCTTTCCGACTTTGAACTATTTTTGGTATTACTCTAATGCAAGTTCCAAAATATTCCTTATCACTTTGATGCATATCAATGCTGCATCAACAAACATTTTTAAGCTTTCAGAGGTTTCCGTGATATCATCCTTACCTATGTAGTTTATCCTCCAGCATCTTCATGTACTTTTCAGCATTTTCTTTTACACTGATTTCTGCAAAATAAAAGTCAAAGTTTGGTAATGGTATAACTGTACAGTTTTGGTTCTTTTTTTTTTTTTTTAAACCATCTCATCTCTTACCCACCAATTTCACATATATCAATTAGAAATGAGAATTTCATTAATCTTTTCCCCATTCAAATTACAGTATGGGTGTCTTCTCCCTTTTTCCTTGAAAATCTGTTGTATCTGTTATGTTAATATCTCTAGTAATTAATGCATTAACCTCTTGGTCATGCCAGAGAAATGGTGAGACTAACAAAGGCACAATGTGCAGAAGTTTCCTCTTGATTAAAAAAAAAAGGCAAAAAAAACCCCACAAAAAAAAGGAAAGAAAACCCAGACAGCTCGGTCCTCCCCTTTACCTCCAGGAGAAGCAGGCAAGCCTAACTAATTCGTCAGTCCCAAGAGTCCTTTAAAATGTTATGAGTCTGGTATCAAATTTCTGACAGAGCCGAAACACTATAGAATGGAAAGAGTTCTCAAGACCTGAATTCTCAAGAACTCAAGATTGTTATGAGATTTGGGTTTGGTGTTTCAGGTTTTTTGTTTGTTTTTAAACTTGGGACCTAGACATTGCCTGCATACGAGTCTCTACAGCTTCTTCCCCCAGAGGAAACTCCAAGAAACTGCTTACTCACCATAACAGACAAAAATAAAGCCCTTCTTCTGCATGATCCTTGGTACTTCATCACGAATATGAATGGGGGAAATGGTAAATCCCCTCCAGGAAAACGGAGGCTTGATGATCCTTGGTACTTCATCACAGATATGAATAGGGGAAACGGTAAATCCCCTCCAGGAAAACGGAGGCTTTTAGAGGATAACCATTTCTACATAGTGATAAGTTTTTTTCCCCCCCTCCCTAACAGCTGCTTGCCAACTCCTAGTCTAGTAGGACTGTAAATCAGTCAGTTTTAAACTCTTCACTTGTTGTACATCAATTAAATACATATTTGATATGAAGATGCATTCCACAGAGCATCATTGTTTTTATAGGCAAAGCTTGCTACATCGATCGGGTACCCTGGGAATTTACCCATCCGTCTGCCCCTGTCTTCCCTACAATGCAGTGCATCCAAACACAGCTTATGTGTATCAAGTGCTTCACATATTTCTCAAAAAAATAAATAAAAGGGGAAATTATTTTCCATAATTCACAAAATACAACATCATACATCAAAGCCCAATCTGAAAACTCACCGTTAACCACATCGGCTGTGCTAAAGTTGCATTCACGGACATACACACCCCCACACAGGAGTTCGCTAACAGTAGCTCCCGTTAGTTCCCCCTCCCTAACAGCTGCTTGCAAACTCCAACTCTAGAAGGACTGTAAATCAGTCACTTTTAAACTCAGGTCATCCCATCAGCAGCCAGCATCAGGGTCAAGGTCACATCGACTGTCTGCAGAAGGTGGCGTTCACCTGCTCACACGGCAGTCACACATCACTGATGCGGTCTGCATCCCAACAGCAAATACAGGACACATTTTGCAAAGTTGATTTACTTTTTGGTAGGGTTTTTTTTGTTTATTTTTACAAAAGAGTTTACTGGATTAGCAAAAAAACCAAAAAACAACTCAACCCACAAAACACAAACAACCCGCCCACCAAAAAAAAAAAACCCCACCCCAAATCCAAAATAAAAAAACCCAATACCACAGAATCACAGAACGTTTAGGGTTGGAAGGACACTCTGTAG